CAAATTTCACCAGGTTGATGCCTTAACTGATAGCTTCTGGCATAAAGTCCTGCAGTCCTTTTTTGAATACCCTGCTTTTGAATGTCACAATAGTATCTGAATCATATGCTCCCAATAAACAAAGACAGAAAATAACATTTTTGTACTTTAACATAAAATATTTTTTTTGTGTTCATTGAGGGGCACAGAACCCAACATCTTTTGGTCCTGCTCTTGGTATTTCTCTTCTAAAAAAAAAAAAGACATGCTGGGAGTGGAGAGGGTTATGCCTGGGTGGTCACTATTTTTTTGTTTTGTTTTTTTGTTTTTTTTGCCAGTGTCCAAATACTTCTGTAGGTGGCAGTACACTCAAATAGTCTCTGAATTCTGTCTCTCATTGAACTCCAAGAAAAGGATTTTATGGTAAGTACCTCCACTTTTTCTTTTCATACTTTGCCTGACTGAACTGTTAAATGTTTGTTTTGATTATAGCTGGAGTACACAAACTAGTAGAACTGAGACGATTATGTACTAGACTTTTCAGTTCAATATTTTTGTTATACAGATTAACGCAAAGCTATGAATAATGCTAGCTTTATAATACAGCAAAAACCCAGACATGACTACTTGATGCTTTGTAGATGCAGCAGTCTCTTCATCTTACTTTTAACGCATCAAATTTGTTTTCCCTTTTTAGTTCTTCAGACCTTTTTCAGATCTAATGTAAATTTTTACTGCTGAGATTTTCAAAAAAATTGCGATTTCATAATTTGAGATCTCACCATGTAGTAACTGAAGTCAGTGGCGTACTTACCGCGCGGCAAACAAGTCGTTTGCAGGGTGTGGCAATTTTCCAAGGGGGCAGCGCTGCCCCCTGCTGTTATAAGACTGCAGCTTCCCCAACAAGCTCATCTGAGCTCCCTGCTTCCCCTGCCAGCTCTCCTGCAGGTTCCCCGCTCCTGCCTCTGTACTCCGGGCTGATTCACCTGTCCCCAGCAGGAATAAGCCATCCCCTCTCCGTTGGAGTTGGAGGACCCAGCTGCCTCGGCTGTCACATCCTTCATGCCATAGTAGCGCTCTCTGCCCCGTCCTCTCCCACCAGAGCCGTTCTTCACTCAGAGCCACCCTCATCGCCACCGCTATGGTTATGGGGCATGGCATGCCCGGCACAGCGGGCACAGCCGGGGGCATGTACAAGGCAGTGCCTGAAGAGGGAGATCACAGGCTGGGGAGGCTGCTATCAGATCAGGGGAAGTGGGATAACAGCACGTCACAGATCCTTCGCTACACAGTAGCTGTCATTTAAACTTCGGCATAGTCTTCAAGGAGCAGTCCACCTTGCCTCCTTCCCTCACACTACCAAGTTTTCAGAAAGTGGATAGGTCCACTGCAATCGTAGACTGATCAATAAATATAAACAAATACCCTGCGTCCAAATTGGTATACAATTCAATGTCCTTAACACATTCCATTAAAGTTCATACTAATAAGTCCTTCATTCTCCCAAGGTTCTCACTGTGAATATTTGAGTGTCCTATATCATAAATACTACACTATATGATATTTATTTTGTTGGAGAGCAATTTACCATAGATGAGGAAGAACGATAAAGGAGTAATCCACAAAATTCATCCCCCTTTACAAAGCAAAGTATTTTAATTGGAGGGTAGAAATTACAGATTAAGAGTGATGGCACATGGTGAAGTTTTGGCACTATTATAGCACTTTTATGTGAGTGTAATATATGTTTGATTTATTGCATTTAAAAAGTTAATGCAATATGTGCAGTTTATATATATTTTTTTGCATGAGGAGTTAATATTTGATGAAAGGAGGAAGAGGAGCACATCATCTTGGTGTTATATTCACGGTGAGAACCTTGGAAGAATGAAGGACTTATAGTATGAACTTTTTAAGGACTTTTGGATTGTATATACCAATTTGGACTCTGGGTATTTGTGTATATTTTAGCTTCCTAGGGGGAAAGTAGTACCGTGGTCATCGGGAACGTCACTTGTTTTATTTGGATTTGTTTATTTAATTTTATTCATTTTATATGTATTTGACTAGTTATTGAGGTCTGTCCTGGTTTTGGATCTTATTTACAGTTGATCATCAATAAAGCTGAGTGATGGGGCTGTGCTGTCAGTGGAGGGCTGGGGGGGGGGGGGGTGGCAGCGTCTGATTTTGAGAGTTGCGTAGGGCAGCACAAGGGATAAATTACGCTCAGTGTAGTGATTCCCAAGTTTTATTTTTATGTTTCAATGGTTTTTATTAATTTTAAACAGTATAAAACAGAGGCAACAAAACACGCCCACGCAGGGGCTATCAATTGCACTGATAAAAAAGGCAAAATAGAGCAGACAACACTCTAATTCCAATAAAGCAAAACGTATGCCCACGCAGGGGCTATCAATGGCACATAGGTTACAATAATATCAGTGAGACTCTGACTATCGCAACTAAAGACAGCTGTCCACTGTCACATCAAAACAAACAGAAAAGGAGAGAAGAAGAGCAGAGAAGAAAGGAGAAAAAAAAAAAAAAACGCCAAAGAGCAGGGGTCCACAAGCGCCAATATCAAAACTCCATTACCTCCCCACACTGGCCAGGGGGAGCGTGGGAAAGGCGTATTGCAACCACGGTTCCCATATTTTCAAACCAAGTTTTATTTTTAAACACTTTTTTTATAGAGTTCATCCAGAGAAATACAGTGCTTTCTAGTGACATACAATTTATCACTGCCTGAACACATCTCTGCATACACAAACTGAGAATTTTACAAGAAAATCTAGGAACTTCTGGAGTGGGTGGACCTATTTCTGTTACCGTATATGGATCAAAAACCAGCATGCAGATTGAAAAGGTCAGATGTTCAAATTCGGCTTGCTTGTTCTAGGCAAGTAATTCTAATGCTTTTGGGTCATCGTAAGAGCCAGATAACTAGTGCTTTCAAAAAGGAGAGGTCAACAGTGGCAGTCTACATGTTTTCTATGAGATATATCCTTATGCCTATTTAGAAAGGGAACAGGTTTGTTAAAAAGTGCTGATCAGGAGTTTGTCCAGCCTTTACTTTAAATAATACACAGAATGACACACATAGACAGACAGCAAGATGCTAACTTTTCTTTGTCAACTTTGTCTCTTCATTCATTTCATTGAAAAGTTTGTTTGGTAGACATTGCAGATGGGTGAAATTAAATTTTCCATCTGGTTTAAAGTGAATATAAGCCTACGATTTTTTTAAATTTTTTTAAATGACAAACCTGTCATACTTGCCTGCTCTGTGCAGTGGTTTGGTACAGAGCAGCAGCCTGGATCCTCCTTTTTCCCTCCTTCTGCAGAGTGCCCTCTTAGCAAATCTCCTGAGCCCCACTCCATGTTCCCATACCCCCAGCCCCACCCCTTGTCTCCAGAGAATGCATTATGGTAAAAAAAAAAAAAACCTTCCAACTTTTTCAACCACTTTTAAAGCTGAAATTTACTTAAAACATATTTTGGCGTACAGTTGACTACTTGGTTAAGTCCTGCATAACTTATCTGTGATTAAAATGTATCCTTTGTCCTGTGACTGTTCCTTACTATAGAAATCTTCTCTTTATTGAAGTGGGGTCCTTTTCACAAACCTAAACTTCTGTTGCAGCATGGGTTAACTGGCTCAAGCCTACCACTGAATAGTCTTGATGGCTTCCCTCTGCTTCTTCCACCCTCCTCCATTCACAGGTCTCCTTGTATGGTTTTCAGAGTTCAACGTTCTCTCTGAATGTGGGAGAGTTGGATGAATGACAAGATCCTCTCTCCCCCATTCAGAGAAAGGGGTGCATTGTGTGAATGGAGAAGGACAATAAAGGGAGGGTGCTGTGAAGAGGACCTGGCACTAAAAGTTTTTATAGTGAGCAGTCATCAGGACATGGGATACGCTTTCATTACAGGTAGGTTTTGTGACTGAAGCATTGCCATAAAAGAATTTCTAACTTCAGTTGTAATTGATCACTTGATTATTTTCTGCTCTGACCTTGACACACACACTCACCTATCATGTTTGTATTCCATAAAGTGTTTCTAAAGTCTAAGCAGTTAAAAAACCTTTACACTGTCTGATCTTTCCCCCACTCATCCCTAAACACTTACCTGACTCCTCCACAGATCCAGTGCTGTCCCCCAGCTTCAGCCATGCTGCTCTCTCTCCCCTTTTCTCAAAGGAGAATCTGATTTGCAGTCGGTCAAATCCTGTGAGGAAGGATGTGCGTGTCCGTCTCTATAGGTGCACACAGCTTGGCTTGGGAGTGCGCCCACACAGGTGCCCCCATAGCAGCCAGCTTACTGAGGTGGTAAAAAGGAGTGCACAGTGCCTGTGGGAGACCCCAGAAGAGGAGGATTGGGGCAGCTGTGTGCAATATAATTGCACAGAGCAGTTAAGTATAGCATATTTTTTTTTTATTTTAATGAAAAAAAAATGCTCTTTAAAACCACTTTAATAGTTTGTAAATATTAGGCAAACATTCAAGTCTGTGTGAGTGCTTTAAGAACATTTTGAAGATGTATGGCTGAGCTTTGCATTGAACAGTAACCAGCTTTTCGAAGATTCTTGTGATGGTCTATAGTGCTATATGAATGGGAAGAAACTGTATTCTGTAATCGTATAATCTGAAAATACTCCACTAAATAGAAGAAAGTGGCAGTCAGGGTTGGGCCCCAGACCACATGTGATGGGAGTTGTTTCCTTAGCTCCTCTTTGTCATTTTGCCTTAGGAAGAAATATCAAATCAAACGTGATACATAATTGGGAGGTTCTTAAATATATGATTGTTAATTTCAGAATAACTAACCTTTTCAGATAATAGTGATTCTTCAACTTTCTTTCATATACTGTATAAAAAAAATATGCAAAAAACAAATCGGTTTAATAAAATTTATTGCTGGAAGCATGAAATAGCATGTTGCAATATTCTTTTAATACTTTCATATTTTCATTTTATTCATATTTGTATTTTACTGGTTTTTTATTTTTTTTTCCATAGAATGAAATAAATGAAATCCCTTTCTTTGATATTCAACTTCCATACGAAATTGCTTTACAAATCTTCCACTACCTGGGCAGAAAAGAGCTTGGAAGATGTGCACAGGTATCTATCTGTTGTAAAGTATAATTGGTGGTGTTGCCTTATCTTCTCCTTTGCATTAAACCATCATTTACCAAAACTGCTCTTTTATTAAACTAGCCAGTTACTACATAATGTGGTAGTGTAGAGTGATTTTTTTTTTTTTTTTTTTTTCCTAGTATTCTTGGAGTTTTGTTGTAAAAAAAAAAATATAGGGGGTCTCTATTATTTATAGACCTATAGGTCAGTTTTTGAAGAGACCTAAATTACTTACTTTGGGGATGCTTTAGTCAGAAGCCTCTGTTTCCTTGATAAATGGGATTTTTCACACTGGCATATCAGCGTGCCAGTGAGTGAAGGGGGAATCATAGGGAGTGAATGTCCCTTGGCATTAGTGACTCATGTGCACTAATAGATTAGATTTCCCAAACCTTAGCTCTTTTGTAAGTGTCCATGCGTTCTGGTTGCGCTGCAGTTTATCATTTTAACCTACAGTTTTTCAAAGGACTGATGGACTGCTCTCCCATAGCTTGGAATCTGGATAAACGGTTGTTAGTTTCGTCGTGTGTTTTGTTAGTTTTGTTTTTTTGTTTATAAGGCCTTATTCACATTGCATTTCTAAATGCAGGTATAGATTTTTCTGTGGTGTCACTCAACTTAGTATTTACCTGTGTTTAGCTGTGTTTAGAGAAGATCGAACTCTGTGTTACAGGTTTTTGATTAGAAATGCTAAACACATGAAAATGTTGCTAAATCTACTGCAGGGGCCATTCACACTAGGAACTGCATGTGAACTGCACAGGAATGCTCTGTTGTTGCTGTGTGATTCACCTGCAGTTCTCTGCAGTGCGATTTCAGCCTATTAATTTTGAATGGGCTGGAATCACACCGCACCAACAAAAGTGCAATTGACTACTTTTGGAAACACAATGCAACTTGAATCCGGTGCGGGCAAATGCACTGCGTTTGGGGTATCGTTGATTTTGCACCTACACCTGCTGCCGATCGCAAGTGCAGTGTGATTGGAATGTGGTGTGGGAAAACTGCACGGAAAACAGGTCTCCTGCACTACATTCTAGTGTGAACGGGCCTTTAAGGATAAGTTCACCTTTGGAAACATGTTACATATTCCACCCATTTTTAGGGTGATTCATGTAACATGTTCCCATAAGTGCAGCTGTGCCCACCACTCCTCCTCCTTCTGACTGTACAGGGAAACTTCTCCCCGTATTGTCTGTCAGATTTGAAAACCGCATGGCCGTGCAGGGCTCCACTGTGGAGCGCCGTGGTAGTTCATTGAAGCTTCCTGTCAGAATATCTGCTTGGCCATACATCTCTGTACGGCAAGCAGATATTCTGACAGGTCTGCAGGAGACCTGCATGGCATCCGCGATCTACTGTCCTTTTGGACAAAAATAATAAATGCACATTTTTTACCTTCCAAAAGGTGAACTTATCCTTTAAAATAGGAACATCTAAATGCAGAATAGAATAACCTGGGTTGAATAAAAGTTTATACTTCCCACTTCTCCTGTATTTTAAAAAGCTATTCGCAATAGTGCAGGTGTGAATGTCGCTGTAGTGTTGCATTAGGTGCATTTATTGATTTTAAAAAGTTAGGAAAAAGATCTCTATGACAGGTTCATGGACATGACCCATAAAAATGTTTGAGTGAGAGCAGACCAGGGGAGTTACCCTTTTTAGACAGTTGTCATGGGAACAAGTGTCCCCATGTAAAGATTCCCCCCTATTCCTTTTCTGGTGACAGTTCAAAATTTTGTATTTACCCACATTTTCATTCCTGGTGACATTGTTGATCGGGACCAATAGAAAGTAAACCTTCCTTATGGAGACACAAACCGCAATAAAAACACAACAGTGATTCTAACTCTCCACAACTCTATCTAAATAAATATAATTTAAAAGAAATTCTTGCCTTTTTTTTTTTTTTTTTTTTTTTTTTTTTTTTAGGCAATTTTAATTTCTGATCTGGCATTTCCTTTTTGTGTGACATTTCTCCTGTGAAGGTGACTTCCATCCTTGGGTCTGTGAGAAAAAGTTCTTCTCACAGTGGGTATATAAATTGCACTATATATACCTGAGAGAGGGTCAAAGCCTTCCTCATTCATGAAACAAAAAAAAAAAAAAAAAAGGGTGGTCAATCCTGAAATGTAGTTCTGTAATAACTTTTCTGCATATAAACATTGTTCATTATAGAAGATTCTTAGGTATCTATAAAGTTTGGCCTGTCAGGGTATATTCACACCACATGGTGTGGGACTGCTCTGGGCTGCTATTCCACTGCAGTACCATTGCATGACAAGGCAAAATGCCTTGTCTCCCTATCTGCCCACTCCACACTACTGCATTGTGGTTCAAAAAGCTCCGGGTGCAGTCATTTTCTTCAGTGCAGTTTAAAGCAATCCACTGCCCCCTACCACAGGGCCGGTTGAACTTTGAGATGTTTTGAAGGAAACAATGTGATGCTCTAAGATTGGGCATTTTCACTGCACTGATCTCAGTGTTTAACCACTTTAGTACCATGCTATAGCCGAAAGACAGCTACAGCATGGCTCTCTTGTTCTGGGAGGGCGTCCATAGACCTCCTCCCAGAACCCTATCCCCTGGGTCATGTATTGGGCACACTCTGTGACCATTGTGTCCTGTGGACACACTTGATCACTGATCGCAGTAAAGGGCCGATCGCAGTAAAGGGCCAATCACAGCGGCCCTTCACCATGTGATCAGCATTGTCCAATCACAGCTGGTCACATGTAAACAGACTTGCCGGTTATCAGCAGTCTTTTCCTCCCACGCTGTATCTGTGTGAGGAAAGGATAGGTGATACCTGGCAAGGCTGTCAGTACTTTGTTTACACTGGTAATCAGGGCACTGATCATCAGTACCCTGAGTATCAGTGCAGCCTCATCCGTGAAAAATTACTTATGTGCAATATGTTATAACAGAAACGAAGAAATGTTGTTTTGTTGTTCTCACAATTTTTGGTCTTTTTTTGTTTGTTTAGCAAAAAATAAAAAACCCAGTGGTAATTAAATACCATAAAAAGAAAGCTTTATCTGTCTGAGAAAAAAAAAATTAATTTTATACGGGTACAGTGTTGCATGACCCTGCAATTGTCATAAGTGTGACCGTGCCAAAGGCTGGTAATTGGCCTGGGCAGGAAGTGGGTGAAAGTGCCCAGTAGTTAAGTGGTTAACTTTACCAGCAGTATTTTAAGTATTTATAAAATGGGGGTTAAAATGTATGTACCGTATTTTCCGGCATATGAAACGCCTTTTTAACCCATGAAAATCTTCTCAAAAGTCGGGGGTCGTCTTATACGCCGGTGTACGGCATGCTGACACTTGGTGTCAGGGCGGCACTTTTTAGGGGGGTGGCGCAGCACTATTCCCTCCCACTGACACCAATGATGGGGCACTATTCCCCCCCCCCCCCCCACTGACACCAATGATGGGGCACTATTCTACCCCCCCCCCCCACTGACACCAACGATGGGGCACTATTCCCCCCCCCCCCCCCCCACTGACACCAACAATGGGGCACTATTCCCCCCGTCACTGACACCAATGATGGGGTACTATTCCTCCCACTGACACCAAACATGGGGCACGATTCCCCCCACTGATACTAATGATGGGGCACGATTCCTGCCACTGATACCAATGATGGGCCACTATTCCTCCCACTGACACCAATGAGAGGGCACGATTCATCGCTCTGACACCAATGAGGGGGCACGATTCGTCGCTCTGACACCAATGAGGGGGCACGATTCGTCGCTCTGACACCAATGATGGGGCACTATTCCTCCCACTGACACCCATGATGGGGCACTATTTCTCCCTATGACACTGATGGAGTACTATTCCTCCCACTGACGCTAATGATGGGACACTATTCCTCACACACTGACACTAATGATGGGGCACCATCATTGGTGTCAGTGGGAGGAATAGTGTCCCATCATTGGTGTCAGTGGGAGGAATAATGTCCCATCATTGGTGTCAGTGGGAGGCATAGCACCCCATCATTGGAATACCATACTGAAATATCATACCATATTGAAATCAAATCTGATGTTTTTTAATTTTTATTTGGTGTGTGTTGGAAGAGGGGTAGTCTTATACGGCGAGTATAGCCCAAACCCTATATTTTAACAGGAAAAGTAGGGGGTCGTCTTATACGCCGGAAAATACGGTATCTTGTTTAATATGTTTCAATTCTTTGGTGAATCTGCATAATTTTGTGAGCTTGGGCAAAAGGGCCGTGCATGGGAAATAATTAAATTCAGCTCTTCATAATGGTGAATGATTCTGAGCAGGTACCGTATTTTTCGCTCCATAAGACGCACCCGACCATAAGACGCACTTAGGTTTTAGAGGCAGAAAACTGGAAAAAAATATTCTGAACCAATGGACTGCAGACATAGTACAGAAAATGACCAGAGACTGCGGACATAGTACAGTAGTAAATGACCAGAGACTGCGGACGCAGTACGATGACCAGAGACTGCGGACGCAGTACAGGAGATGACCAGAGACTGCGGACGCAGTACAGGGGATGGACCAGAGACTGCGGACGCAGTACAGGGGATGGACCAGAGACTGCGGACGCAGTACAGGGGATGGACCAGAGACTGCGGACGCAGTACAGGGGATGGACCAGAGACTGCGGACGCAGTACAGGGGATGGACCAGAGACTGCGGACGCAGTACAGGGGATGGACCAGAGACTGCGGACGCAGTACAGGGGATGGACCAGAGACTGCGGACGCAGTACAGGGGATGGACCAGAGACTGCGGACGCAGTACAGGGGATGGACCAGAGACTGCGGACGCAGTACAGGGGATGGACCAGAGATGCGGACGAGTACAGGGGATGGACCAGAGACTGCGGACGCAGTACAGGGGATGGACCAGAGACTGCGGACGCAGTACAGGGGATGGACCAGAGACTGCGGACGCAGTACAGGGGATGGACCAGAGACTGCGGACGCAGTACAGGGGATGGACCAGAGACTGCGGACGCAGTACAGGGGATGGACCAGAGACTGCGGACGCAGTACAGGGGATGGACCAGAGACTGCGGACGCAGTACAGGGGATGGACCAGAGACTGCGGACGCAGTACAGGGGATGGACCAGAGACTGCGGACGCAGTACAGGGGATGGACCAGAGACTGCGGACGCAGTACAGGGGATGGACCAGAGACTGCGGACGCAGTACAGGGGATGGACCAGAGACTGCGGACGCAGTACAGGGGATGGACCAGAGACTGCGGACGCAGTACAGGGGATGGACCAGAGACTGCGGACGCAGTACAGGGGATGGACCAGAGACTGCGGACGCAGTACAGGGGATGGACCAGAGACTGCGGACACTACATCATATAAAGTCCCAACAGGGCCCCTCCACCTAGAATATCAAATGATCTGCCACCATACATCAAGGAAAAGGACTACAACTCCCAGCATCTGTCATTTTAACTTATAGAAGGCAGGGGGCGCACTGAGCTCCGAGGACAGGCCACACCAGCAAACAGGACTGGACTGTAGAGCAGGGAGCACACTATGGACACATGCCAGGAAAGGGGAGGTGCTGTAAGGACAGGCCACACCCGCAGACCAGACTGCAGAGCTGGGAGCTCAGTACATAGACATGCCAGGAGCGGGGAGGAGCTCCAAGGACAGGCCACGCCTGCAGGGCGGACCGGACTGCAGAGCAAGCTGGCTGGGTTCGGCGAGGGGACTGCCTGCTATGAAGAGCTGCGGGGACAGCCCGCTGAGATGAGAGGGCAGGGTGAACTTCGGTGACAGCCTGCAGTGGGATGGGACAGGCTGCACTGGGATGGGACAGCCGCTGACACTAACACGGCGGCGGTGACAGGTGAAGGACTGCTCAGTATTCGCTCCATAAGACGCAGAGACATTTTCCCCATATTTTTTGGGGAAAAAAGTGCGCCTTATGGAGCAAAAAATACGGTAGTTTTAATTTCAACTTTTATAAATACTGCAAATGTTACGTAAAATAGCATACAGCTGACTAATCACCTATGAAAGAAGTCAGGCTTTATAAATTCGGCAAATTATTAGTGAAAAACCCTTGGCCAATGTGACATTTGGACTTCATCTCAAAGGTTGTGAGTAATCATAATAATGTATGCATAGCATTCTGTGGAATTCCAGCATGGTTTAAAAATACTATTAAGGGGTAATTCTTAAAACAAAATAATGCAGTTATTACAGCATACCTTTATTTGTATTAACCATAAAATATACCAGCATTATTAATAGAGCCAAATCAGCAATACATAATATAATAAAAGCAGCACAATAGGCTAGCACAAAACACAATTTTCTCTTTCTCTGTTGTATTTTTTTAATAAATTTACCAGAAGCTGAAAACGCTTCTGTTCAGCTGAACGCCCTGCTGCTTTTTGAGTGTTTACTGCAAGAGATTTCAGATGAAGGGGCCTTGGGAGCTCAGAAGAACTGGGCCAGTTTAAAGGAGTTGGCATCCTAAACTGTACTAGTGGCCTTGGAGGGGACCTGCCTGCTTAGTTAGCTATCTCGCCAAATTTCTCTCTTGAAAAACAGTAAAGCAAAGAGATGGCAGGGATCCTTCTCAGGCTTAATCACACTTCTGTCCCTCACACCCAACAAACTTACATCCTTTCCCATTTTCACTACTTCTTTTCTTCTCTTCCTCCCTTGTGGTATCCGTGACAGTGTTTTCCTCCACATTTTCTCATCTATCAGTGTGAAGTAATCTGCTTCAGCATCCCCAGTAAGGGTTAACATGCGGAGACAGGTATGACAGTCTCCTCTAGGCAAAATAAGCCCACTGAGATGGGAGCATTCTGATTTGCTGTAATGTAATGACAATGTTCTTCCACCATCTGTCTGTACATAATGACTGCAAATGTTTGAAATAATTGTTTTTCTTCTAGGTTTTCTTTGTAACTTTTTACAAGTTTGTTGTACTTTAGCAGAGTTGAGTTTAATATAGTCTTATATAAATGTCCAATAACATGCGTGGAGATTATGCTGCACCGTATTCTTCCCTTTAAAGAGTTATTAAACCCCAAACCAAAAATGTAATATATTTCAGCTCTGCAATTTATTAGATGAGGCAGCTGCATTATGTTTGGTTTTTTTTTTTTTTCCATCTCCTGTTTTCACCTGGCAGTCTGACCAATTACACACCCTCTGTATTAAGGTTCCCCACTGTGGATAAAGGAGCACAGAGGGGAAAATTTGGACAGCATTGTCAGTCTTGGGGGTCGGAAGTGTATGTAGCAAATTTTATATACACTAACAAATTGAAGCCAAACTCCAGCTAATACTTTATATAAGTAGTAACGGCAAACAGGTTGATTCCTTTTGGGAGGTTTTACATAAAAGCTGTGCGTTGTAAGCACCCCTGCCAGTGTTAAATGGTTTGTCTCAACCCTGTGACTGATGCATCTGTGGGAGAGCTTGTTGTTGTTTTTTTGTGGTGTGTGGTTTTTTTTTTTTTTTTTTTTTTTTTTTTTTTTTTTGGGAAAAACAGGCTTACTGGCCAGATCACCAGATGAAAATAGAAGAAAGTCTAAAAGAAAAGCTAATTTAGCCATTAAATCTATTGGTAAGCTGTAATATAATAAATGTTTATTTTGGGTTTAATACTACTTTAGTTTGCACCAAAGCATGAGATACTGTTTAAATTTTTAGGCTCCATGCGCACTGGCCCGTTATTTAATAACACTGGTAGCGTCAGCTGTGTAAAGTCACATTAAAACTGCAAGTATTTCAGCGTTTTTGTTGCGTTTTTCCACGTTTGCATTTTTTAGCTTTAAAAACGAAAAAAAAAAATTTTGCTCTAAAAAAAGTCCTAAACTGCTGGTTTGCTGCATTAGAGCGTTTTTTTACAGCTAAAAAAAAAAAAAAATCCCTAAAAACTGACTAGTTCTGGGTTTGTTTTTTTTTTCCAGCCAAAAAATGCCTCTGCCAAAAAAACTGATTACAGCCTATATGTGTGCATGGACAACATAGGATAACATGCTGGGGAGTTTACTGGCTGTAGAAAAAAACACGCCAAAAGCCAAAAACAGCAGCTGTAAAAAACATCCAGTGTGCATGGGGACTTAAAGTTAAAAATCCAGGCATTATGGCTTTATTGCGGGAAATAAATAGTATCTGTAAATGTGGAAAACATAAAACAGGGAAGGGTGCAAGACAGTCTTGTAGCATAGCAAAGCTTTATTAGATTATGCACCCGTAAAAACAAATTGTTGGAATTGCACTCATGAGCAGAGCAGTGTATGTCCTGGATGGCTGGTTGTAACACATAGTCCAGTCCTATGTGCATGATAGGTGAGCTGACATCAGGTTCTATTCTTCTTTTTTTTTTCCTTGGACATTTTTTTCTCTTCTTTAAATGTCCCTTTTAACTTAATGTAATTATGCACCCAAATAGCTTTTGTCACTGTTTCCTCCGCTAATTATCCTCTTTTTCATGTTTTATAGAACTTTGATTTTTGAGTGTCCACAAAGCAGTTTGAGGCCATATTTTTGGTCTTGGTGCCTTCCAGTCCCTAAAATCCTATTTGAAATCCAATCAGAATCATTCTCTGAATTGTTTTCAACCAGCAACAAAAGTAGCCACTCTTAACAGGAAGTCCAGTTTAATGTCAGTTTAATATGTGCTGTTTGATCTGTTGCTTACGTTTATAATCAGAAATATTTTATTATTTTATATTAAAGTGGTTGTAAACACATATACCCAGTGAAGTGACTGGCCTCAGGTGTTATACAGAGATGAGACAAATTCTCCTACATATGGTGTACCTGTTTATTTGCAGTTTTCTGTTCTTTACAGCCTTTCAAAGTCCAGAATTGATACCATTTGTCTGAATTATCAGAAACTGGGGCGGATACCTGAAATTACACACTGCACAGCTCAGTGAGGAGAGCTCTAAGAGCAGATTGGAGAAATCCTCTCCACACACCTCACAGGAACAGAGCTGAGGCTGTCAATCACAGGCTGTGTGCTAAAGATCCCTCCCCTGTTTCCTTTTTGTTCCCCCCCCCCCCCCCCCCCTTAATGTCAGGAACACTTGTCAGAAGTGACTTATGCTGATAGCAGAGGTATGAAGCAGCAGACAGAAATGACACTTAATGCTCTGGATTGAGACAAGTACACGCTACAGAGGGATATGTGTTTATATTTCATGTCTGAAGTTTATACTGTTTAGCTGCAGTGAAGGAAATTAATTACCCTCAATAAGTGTTCTCAATAAATACACTATATTGCCAAAAGTATTGGGACTTCTGCCTTTACACACATATGAATATTAATGGAATCCCAGTCTTAGTCCGTAGGGTTCAATATTGGGATAGCCCACCCTTTGCAGCTATAGAAGCTTCAACTCTTCTGGAAGAACGGTCAAACATTCCCATAGACACACTCCTAAACCTTGTGGACAGCTTTCCCAGAACACATTTGTGAGGTCAGGCACTGATGTCAGACGAGAATGCCTGGCTCGCAGTCTCCACTCTAATTGACCCCCAAAGGTGTTCTATCAGGTTGAGGTCAGGACTCTGTGCAGGCCAGTCAAGTTCCTCCTGTGCATTGGTGTGCAGTCATGTTGGAACAGGAAGGGGCCATCCCCAAACTATTCCCACTATGTTGGGCGCATGAAATTTTGTCCAAAATGGCCTAGTGTGCCTTAAGAGTTCCCTTCACTGGAACTAAGGGGCCAAGCTCAACCCCAACCCCTGAAAAAAACAACCCCACACCATAATCCCCCCTCTGCCAAACTGCACAATGCAGGCAGGCAAGTACCATTCTGGCAACCACCAAACCCAGACATGTCCATCGGATTGCCAGACAGATGAGCGTGATTCGTCACTCTAGAGAACATATCTCCACTTCTCTAGAGTCCAGTGGCAGCATGCTTTACACCACTGCTTTCCAACACTTTGCATTGTACTTGGTGATGTAAGGCTTGAATGCAGCTGCTCAGCCATGGAAACCCATTTTATGAAGCTCTCTACGCACTGTTGTGCTAATCTGAAGGACGCCCGAAAATTGGAGGTCTTTAGCTACTAACTCTGAAGACAGTTGCGACTTCTGAGCACTGTGCTCTTCAGCATGCTGACCCCACTCTGTGATTTTACGTGGCCTACCACTTCGTGGCTGAGTTGCTGTTGTTCCCAGTTGCTTCCACTTTGTTATAATACCACTAACAGTTGACCGTGGAATATTTAGTAGCAAGGAAATTTCATGGATGGACTTACTGCACAGGTGACAACCTATCACAATACCACACTTGAATTCACTGAGCTCCTGAGAGCGACCAATTCTATCACAAATGTTTGTAGAAGCAGTCTGCATGCCTAGGTGCTTGATTTTATACACCTGTGGCCATGGAGGTGAGTGGCACACCTGAATCCAATGATTTGGAGGGAGGAGGGGCAATATAGTGTATCTCTGTCTCAAAAGTGAACAATCAGGAGTCTGTGTAGACGCCTAATACTTAATCAAAGCCCTCCCCCAGCAGCGCTGTAAACAAATGTTTAAAATAAATTGTGAAAAAACATAATTAAGTGCTCATTCACATGGGTACTATGGCACCTATGTGTGCCACTCAGATATAGCAGTAATACACTTTGTTGGTGCATTTTTACATCAGTAGCAATTTATTACAATGCACATAACTTGCATGCACTTGTTATATTGTGTACAGTCGCTGCAGTACATCATTACAATGCATTGTAGTGCTTGATTTTCAAATTACAAGTTTGGTGAATTTTTCTAGAAAATATAGATTTTAATAAACATTTGTGTACCTATTACGGTACCTACAAAATCGGTAGCAAAATCTTTTTATGCTTTTGGTCTTATACTTTCAGAAAATGTATGGTTTGTGGGCCATTTACAACTTCTGAACTCTGTGAGAATAAAAAGTGAAAAATTGTAAAAATGTAAAGAATCACCTATGAACAGTTTGTGTTTTACTGTATATTGTTTAGTCACCTTGGGGTCTTGTGCAGTATTGAAGCTTGACATATTTGTATTTGACATCTGTTTTCTTGGCACAATCTCGTATTTATATTTACTAGGAAATTGAGGATTGTGTTTTTTTGTATTCATTAAAATAATTTGAGTGGTTTCTTTTTTTTTTCTTTTACTGAATATATGGACTTGACTAACAGTAGCCCAAATATTTTGTGACACATAAAATGCAACTACCAATATTTTACGCTATAGGGTATAAGGTTGTGTTTAGGTTTTAAATTATGTTTTCATGTACAAAATGTACCTTATTTAAAAAAAAAAAAAATTGTGTGCAAAAAGAAAAATAATGGCTCTAGCAGTTCTTGGTGTACAGTAGTGTGGTAAGGCTTTGATGTAGACACAAAGCTCAACAAACTGAAAGTGTAGTTTAAAAAGAAAAAAGTTTACTGCTGCAAGGTAATATTGCATTGCATTGCATTGCATACTAGCACATTATGAAGGACTTTCTTTAGAAGGAAGCTCTCCAGCGGCCCACTGCCGTCGCTGTAGGAGGCTTTAATCTTCACCCGGGTTTCCTTCCAGGTCCACAGGCTTCAGCTGCTTGAATGGCCAAGCCTCTGATGTCGCTCCCGTGCTTGCGCACGGGAGTTTCGTCCATGGCACACAGCTCTGAAGGAACGGCATGGGTATGCCTGTTCCTTCAGAGCGCATGTGCCGGTATTGTCACCCGGCTGCTGCTCCGTAGAATATCTCCTAAAGGGTGAATGTTTAGGAGATATTCATTTTACCTACAGGTAAGCTTTATTATAAGCTTACCTATAGGTAAAATGTAAAAAAAAAAAAAAGTGTACTACCACTTTAACCTCTGTTTTCTCATTTAACTTTCAATAGGCTTGTTACTGGCAAGAAAGCTCACAGCAGGTGAGACAAAGCCCAACCCAGGAACCTTAGACCATTTCTACAAGGATAATATCAGATTAGCCTTTCTCAATGTACCTCCTTTAACAGATTTGTGTATTAAAACTGAATCGAATACAATTATTGCAATCAGTCTGTGTTTAGCTGCTTTTTTGAAGATTAGAAAAAAAAAAAGACTTTGCTCTTTATTGTGACAAAATCCCTTCCATTTCATGTAGTCTTGATATATCGACTCCCTATCGCAAAATGCAGACACTAGGGAAATCTTATTTAAGTGCCAAATGTATTTATTTATTACAGGTATTTATATAGCGCTGTCAATTTAAGCAGTGCTTTTACATATATATTGTACATTCACATCAGCCCCTAACCCTCAAGGGGGTGTACAATCTAAGGTCCCAAACTTACATTCATACATACATCTAGGGCTAATTTAGATAGGATTCAATTAACCTACTGGCATGTCTTTGGAGTGTGGGAGGAAACCGGAGTACCCGGAGGAAACCCACGCAGGCACAGGGAGAACATGCAAACTCCAGGCAGGTGGTGCCGTGGCTGGGATTCGAACCAATGACCCTAGTAGTGCCAGGTGGAAGTGCTAACCATTTAGCCACTGTGCTGCCCATGTGAATAATATGTCTAATAGTGGACTAATTACCTGTAGTGCAGATATTTGTGCTAGCCATCCATGCTTACAAGGGTATGGGAGAGCTGATAGTGTACAGGGCTGCTGAGTACCTGGCTACATTTAGATTAATGCCATAACTAAAGTAGTTCTAAACGCAAAATGTTTTTTTGACCTTGTTGCATTTTCGTGCATTAAGGTAAAAAAATTCCCAATTACCATTTCTACCTTCCTCTGTCCCTTACCTGATGTATCTCACCTCTCCAGTGCTGTCATAGCAGCAGCTCTGCTGTTCTTTTCCTGGTTGTATAGGAGACACTAAGGACAATGGGAACCATAAGCAAATTCCTGTGAGGAGGGAGCTGGGGTGAAGCTTGTGAGTGCCCCCTACAGGACACTCATAGAAGGAGCAGACAAAGCTGGCAGGGGACCGCAAAACAGAGGTAGGAGACCACTTTGCACAATATTGTTGCACAGAGCAGGTAAGTATAACATATTTTTCTTATTTTAACAAAAAAAAAAGAGCCTTGGGAATCACTTTAAAATGTTTGTATGGCTGAAGGTTTTTAACCTATGCATGATGGTAAAAAAAAACCTTGTGTGTGTGCTGCGCACCCCACAGCCCCCCTAATACTCACCTGAGCCCCCTCTCGATCCAGCAATGTGCTCGGGAGCCTTTGCTGTCCTGGGTCTGTCTCTCCTCATTGGCTGAGGCACAAATGTGGGATTATCTCGCACTGCTGTCAATCACGGCCAGTAAGCCAATGAGGAGAATGGGGATTGCGGGGATTGGGGCATGTGCAGCTCTGTGTCTTAGGGATGCATAGAGTGAGGCACAGGACTGAGCAAGCTCTAGTGCCCCCATAGGTAGCGGCTTGCTATTGGGGGCACTGGTCAAGGGGGAGGGAGGAGCCAGGAGCCCCACTGGGGGACTCGAGAAGGGGGATTTGGAGCTACTCTGCTCAAAATCATTACACAAAGCAGGTAAGTATAACATGTTTTAAAAAAAAAAAAAAAAAAAAAGGAACCTTTTTAATACCAATTTAAATGTCAAACGTTGGGATAGAATAGTGGAAGCTATTGTTGCCAGCTTGGCTGTTGGGGCCCTTAATGTGTCCATGCTTATTGAGGTACTAAGCAGTGAAAGTGTGAAATACACCTATGGAGCACACACCTTCAAAAACAAGGCAGCATTGTTTGCTTGGTTTTTTTCTTTTATACAAAGCCTCATTTGAACCTGAAGCGTCTCAGAAAGCTAATAAAGCTGACAGCATGCCAGTGCCTTCTCTATACAGTGTACACACACTAAATCTCTATGGTGCCATGAACTAAAATGCTGGAGAGGGTTTTATTAGAGGCGTCTTACAGCTGCGCCTTACTCTTACTGGGTAGCTCCCTGCCAAATATTATGCATTAAGTTATAACCAACATACATCAGGGTTTTTGCTGGTTAACTGCTTTGCCCAAACTGATTTCTTTCAGCTTCTCGGAAAGATTATGTAATGGTTACCGTGACCATTCCCTCTAGTGCTTTATTGCTTTGATTGAAAATCCATAAAATACATGAGTAGCAAAAACTTTGCTTGGTTGGTGTTCATTTTCTGTTTGATAACGCCTAAGTTACACTGTTATGTTTCAGAACATGATGATATGATCAACAAAACTGATGTCTGTGAAGTAGATGGTTTTTTTTTTTTTTTTTTTACTGCTGCTTTAGTTACGTTACACAATTCTCTATCCTAGTGGTGGTGCAGGTATCACAATAAAAACTTATCAGACTTGACTAGGGCCCATTGTGCTCTTTGTAAATGCAGAATGATCAGTGTAACTAAAACAGTATGTAGTAAAATCCACACTAAAAAGTCAAAGCCAAGTCTAGTCTATATTTATATAGTTGGAAAAAAGGGTATCTTTGATAATGCTGATGATCTGCCACTACCATTCTCCTGCACCATCTCCAAGGACTTAATACACCCTTTACATTGTCACTATGGTAGCATTATGCAATAGGGGGCTTCTGTCTCCACTGTCTTTACAGTATGTGGTCAAAAAATTTTTTTAAATTTGCTATTTTCATTGCAACAAGCAAAATACACCAGTAGAATCACAGTAAAGTGTTTTTACCATCAACAGAGTCTGTCCTATATATTGCATAGTTATTATATACTGAAACTTTTTCATATAAAATACATAGTCGGAGAACATTCAGATGGAATATACAGCATAAACCATGGTCTGCAGGGAACCTAGGTAGATCAGTCAGTAAGAAGGGATCTAGTCCAGGGACCCCATATCTTATTAAATTGTTTACGTGAGCCCCTATTAGTGAAGATAAGTTGGTATAAGCTCGCCTTACCACCTGCCCCCTTGGCTCTGTCCCCACACAACTCCTACGATCACCCTCCTCCTCCTCCATCCTACGCTCCCTCACTCACATCTTTAATCTCTCCCTCTCTACTGGCGCATTCCCCTCCCCTCTAAAGCACGCGCACATCACTCCCATACTTAAAAAACCCTCTCTGGATCCCACCGACCTAAACAACCTTAGACCCATCTCCCTGCTGCCATTTACATCCAAACTCCTTGAGTTCCCACCTCACCGACAACAACCTCCTTGATCCCCTACAGTCTGGCTTCCGTCCCCTACACTCCACTGAAACTGCCCTACTCAAACTCACCCACGACCTGCTAACCGCCAAAGCTAATGGCCACTACAATGTACAGCGCTGAGCAAACCTTTTGGCGCTATATAAATACTGTATAATAATAATACTACTCTGTGCTCCTACTCCTCGACCTCTCCGCGGCTTTCGACACGGGTTGACCACCCCCTCCTGCTCAAAAAACTATACTCTCTTGACCTCAGAGACTCCGCTCTCTCCTGGCTCTCTTCCTATCTATCACAGCGCTCCTTCAGTGTTACCTATAATGCTGCCACCTCCCCCTCTCTGTTGGGGTCCCTCAAGGCTCTGTCCTTGGGCCCCTTCTCTTCTCCATCTACACCTCCTCCCTTGGCCAACTGATACACTCCCACGGCTTCAACTACCATCTCTATGCCGATGACACGCAAATCTCTCTCTCTACCCCTCGCCTCACCCCTTCAGTCTCCACCCGAATCACTAGCCTTCTGAACGACATATCGGATTGGATGTCACTCCACTTCCTCAAATTGAACCTTTCCAAAACAGAGTTTCTAATTTTTCCGCCAAGCCCGCAGGCCCCCCCCCCCCCCCCCCACTTCTCCATCACAACCAACAACGCCACCATCAGCTCCACCCCACAAGCCAGAGTACTAGGGGTCATTCTAGACTCCAATCTACCTTTCCAGCCCCAGGACCAATCGCTGACAAATTCATGTAGACTCCACCTCTGCAGCATCTCCAAAATACGTCCGTTCCTAACCCCATGAACTACTAAGCATCTCATTCACTCCCATATTATATCATGACTTGACTACTGTAACTCCCTCCTCACCGGCTTACCTCATCACAGGCTTTCCCCGCTTCAGTCTATCCTGAATTCTGTGGCCAGACTCATCCACCTTACTAACCGCTCTGCATCCACCACCCCCCCTCTGCCAATCCTTCCACTGACTTCCGGTTGCCAACGCATACATTTCAAATTACTAACATTGATGTACAAAGCTGTTCATAACACTGCCCCAAACTACATCACCGACCTGATATCCATCTACCACCCAAAACGTACTGTCCGCTTCTCACAAGACCTCCTACTCTCTAGTTCCCTGGTCTCCTCCTCCCATGCCTGGCTCCAGGACTTCTCTAGGGCTTCCCCCATCCTCTGGAACTCACTACCCCAATCCATCAGACTGTCACCTACCCTCCTCACCTTTTAGGCACACCCTGAAAACCCATCTCTTCAGGGAAGCCTACCCTGCCCTCACCTAATTGCTGATCTCCTCCACTCTTCCTACCACTCTATCCCCCACAGCTATTTCCTCCTGTACCACTATCCCCTCCCTCCTAGATTGTAAGCTCCAAGGAGCAGGGCCCTCGAACCCCTCATGTATTGTATAATATTGTTACTGTACTGTCTCGTATACTGTCTCTCATTATAATGTACAGCGCTGAGCAAACTGTTAGCGCTATATAAATATTGTATAATAATAACAGTAGGGCTGCATTCATCGCATTCCTCCATTTCTGAGAGGGTTGATGGAAGAGGTCTCTTCCAGGTAACCAGCCAAACCGTTTAGGGCAGAGTCAACTATTGCAGTGAGCAATCTAATAACACACGGTTACTACTACTTGTATTACTACATCACAGATATTCCATATCCTAGTAGATATCTAAATGTTGGGAGTATTTTATTCATGGATTAATTCTAAAACAATATGGATACATTTCTATAGTGTAGAGCAGGGGGGTATGGAAAACTCAAATTCATTGTGGGCTGCATCAGCATTTATTTATTACAGGTACTGATATAGCACCGTCAATTTACTCAGTTTACATAAATGTTGTACATTCACATCAGTTCGTGCCCTGAAGGAGCTTACAATCTAAGGTCCCTAACTCAGATTCATACGTACACATACTAGGCCTACATTAGACAGGAACCAATTAACCTACCAGCATGTCTTTGGAGTGTGGAAGGAAACCCACACAGGCACAAGGCGAACATGCAAACTCCAGGGAGGTAGTGGCTAGGATTTGAACTGCTGCTAGGCAGAAGTGCTAACCACTGTGCTGCACCATTATGGTTGCTCTCAAAGGGCCGGTTGTTTCTGTAAGACTATATAAATGTATCTATTGTTTATCACATTAAATAGTTGCCTCTGCATTTGATTATTACTGGTTACAGAGCCCATTCACACTCCTGTAGCAGATGATGCAAGACTGAAAAGGAGGGGTGCACACTGCTGGTATTATCAACAAGAAACTTTATTGGAGACTCCTCAGACAGAACATGATTCAGCCATGGTGGTCTCTCCGAGCAGTCTCCAGTAAAGATTCATGTGGATGATGCCAGCGTTGTGCAACCCTCCTTTTCAACTGGCATAGAATTGTAGTATTCTCATAATACATATAAGCAGCTGTCCAGAGCACCCCACCCCCACTTACATGAGATGTCAAGAGTCACCCACCCTCCCTTGCATCACAGTGCACCTCCCTTACCTTGTGCTGCTGCTGAGAAGAAGCTGGGGGTGCAGCTGAGAAGCAGAAAATGCAGTGTCTGGAGAAAGACCAGAGGAGGGCTGGAGTCGGCTGTAGGAGTCTGTTGAATGCTAAGATGAGGGGGTGCTGCGGCTGCACAGGGAGGCACAGGATCTGTAAAAAGAGTTGTCCTCTCTGCTGCCGACTGTCCTGAAGGTCGGGGGGGGGGAAGAGACATTCCACAGCTTCATGGAGAAGCACAGGATCTGGCAGAAGAATTCTGTCCTCCTCTATCTGCAGACCACTAAGACAAGTTAGGGGCGGAGACAAGGTGGATGCCACAGCTGCAAGAGAGGTGCGAGGGCCACATAGAATGGCCTGGCGGGCCGCATTCGGCCTGTGGGCCTTGTTTGGCACATTTGGTATAGAGCGTTATTACCTTACATGTGCAGTGAAACATGCTTTGTATAGCAGAGCCAGAAAGCCCTAGAGACTGGCACTGAAGGCGACTTCGCGTTCTACTTTTGCATAGTGTTTGCATGGTCCGATGGCTTTGTGATGCGTATTGTATCCCTTGTTTTAAGCATAACATTTAATGTTCAATTGCCTTTAGGATGGCACATATTGTACAGAGATCTCCAGAGGGTGTTTGGAATCCATTTCTGACTTGTATTCAATACCAGCTTTGTGGGCTTTAAATTAAGTGACTTAATCTCTTTGTTTCGTGGAGTAGAAAGAAGGAGGAACACTCGCTGGAACAAAAATCAGCTCTTAATGTGTTTTTTTTGGCTCTGCCATGCAGTCAGATTAAGCCAATAGTTATTTTTTTTTTCTTCATTACCTCATCGTGTTTTATCTCAACGTATTAGGTAAGCAAAGCGTGGAAGGTCCTTGCTGAAGATGAAATCTTGTGGTTCCATATTTGCCAAATGGAAGGGTTCCTGACGGACAGTAAAGTTACAGCGTGCACATCTTGGAAAGAAGCTTTAAAAGAGAGGCGCACTCAAGAGAGCCTGCTGAGGACAAACTGGAAGGTATCATACCCCACACTGTGTGCACAATGCTGTAACAGCTTTACATGCTGCAAACCAATATCTTGCTGAGCCGTACTGACTTCCCTGCTGAGATCAACAGATTAAATAAGCCACTTGTTTAAATAAACTGTTTACTTTATAGTTTTTACTTTATAAGTCTGAACTTTATAAAACAAGTAAATAATTAATTAGCTGAATAGGAGTTGATGGCAACAGAAGTAATTATAATTCAATTAATTTGCTCATATTTTTTTCTTCTTAAAAAAAAAAAAGTGTGTGTGTGTATATATATGTATGTGTGTATGTATATGTATATATATATGTATGTGTGTGTGTGTGTGTGTGTGTGTGTATATATATATATATATATATATATATATATATATATATATGTGTATGTATGTGTGTATATATATATATATATATATATATATATATATATATAGCCATGCTGTTCATGTCTACACTGCTTGCATTTTCTACTTCCTTTTTGAGTTTTGGTATTGAGGTACATATACCGATCAGCCACAATATTATGAACATTGATAGGTAAGGGGCATACCATTGATTATCTCATTATAGTGGCATCTAAAAGTGGGTGGTATATAATAAGCAGCAATTGAACATATTATCCCTGAAGTTGGTGTGTTGAAAGCAGACAAGAATGCCTAAGCATAAATATTTGACCAAGGCCAAATTGTAATGGTTAGACAAATGGGTCAGAGCATCTCTAAAAACTGCAGCTCTTGTGGGATATTCCTGTTCTGAAATGGTCAGGACCTACCAAAAGTGGTCCATGTAAGGAGAACTGGTGGCAGGGTCTTAGGATGCCAGGTCATTGTTGCACGGGGAGGCGTGAAGGCTGGGCCATGTAGTATGATCCAATAGAGGAGCTACTGTAGCTCAAATTGCTGAAAAAGTTAATGCTAGTTCCGATAGGCATCAGAACACCTAGTGCATCATAGTTTGTTGACTATTATCCTACGTAGCTGAAGACCAGTCAGGGTGCCCATGCAGACCTGTATCTACAGCCAAAAACACCTATAATGAGCATGTGAGCATCACAATTGGACCACTGAGCAATGGAAGAAGGTGCCTGGTCTGATGAATCACATTTTTTTTTTCTTTCTCCTAAACTATCTGGATGACCACATATGTGTGCGTTGCCTACCTAGAGAAAAATGGCACCGAGATGCTCTACGGGAAAAAGCCAAGCTAGTGCAAGAGATGGATCAGGGCTGTTTTGGCCTATTCCATTTTAGATGAGTGGTCGTAATGTTATGGCTGATCGGGGTATGTGATCTCAAGTGCGTGAATCTCAAAAAAGGGACATATGCTGACTCCCTGGCAAGCTATGTATGTCAGCATACTTATTTAAGTATGAAATTAGGTTTCCTTTCTTCAATGATATGAAATATTCTGGGGACCGGTCAAGATATGTCCACATCCAGGGCACTGTGTCTTCAAACTTTTTAAATGAGCTTACAAATGCATTCTATCTAACATATTTCACACCCGCAGGGACCTGCAGAAATTGGCAGAAACGTACACATGTTCTGCATAATGTGTTTTTGTTCCCAATGAAGCATTAAGCAGATCCCACATCAAGTGTTGCCAATTTCTAGCCCCTCCCCAGAGACATGTGATATATAAGTGAGAATTTATTAATGTTTCATTAAAATTTTATGAAACCGTTATTTGTTCTTACTAACTTTTAATGGGATCAGGCCAAGGACTATTTTTAAGTAAGAGACTGGCTTGTTTGGAATAACCCTGTTCAAAAATGAAAATTAGAAATCCCTTAATGGTGTTATGTTCACATATGTTTTAACAGCAGGTTGGATAGCTTGCTTCTAATGTGTGAAGCCTGCATCAAGTCTCAACGGATATAAAAACGATTATGGAAAGTTGAATTTTAAAATCAATTATTTCAATTAAATTGCGTATATGAGCAATGCTAACCAGGATCAGCCTGTATTTCTAGCATCTGGTTATTTCTGGGTATGGCAGAATCTTTTAAATGTCTGTTTGCTGAATCTCCTCCATATATCTGTTCATTTCGTTCAGCTTCACCTTTTATTTCCCTTTTAGTTGGGTATTCTCCAGTATTAGGAATGCAACACACTAAAAATAATTTTAATAGCTCATACTGTTGTTTGTGCTATAGTTGGATCAATGGTTTTATAGATTGTCACAGAATACATTGTTCAAATATTAGCAGATTGTTGGGTTTGAAATTTTCAGGTGGTTCCCTATTATGAATGTTGGAACAAGTAAAACATTGAATGCCGAACTCAACTGTAGCTCCAACAGATCCATTCAATATCCTGTATGTGGCATCAGGCAAGGCGTGAAAGTTTAGGCTACCTGATTCAATGACTTTACAAAGAGCCAAACATTATATGTTGAATGTACTCCTTCAATGCACAGAGATCACAAACTACTAGAAACTGGCAGCACATGCAAGAGTTTAGCTAAAGTGTAGAGAGCACATCTCCAAAACAAAAACTGAGAATAAGGAAGGCATCAGCAATAACATTTTGTTGTGTAGTTTGCTTTCTTTAATTTGCTGTCTAAAATCACATGAAATACATGAAATATGGGCTAAATTCTTACAAAGGGCTTACTGCTTCTGTTAGGTTGTGATCTCCAGAGGTTGCATAAATACATTCAAACATAGACATCGTAATGTGACTGCTGGCAATATAGACACTAAATCAGACAAGTACATGCAGCATTTACCTTCCTTGTTCTCTTTCTGCAGTTACAGAGTAGGCTTCAGACAAGCTGAATGTAAACAAAGCATTGTTAAAACTGACCCTGGTCTGTGATGATTATTCAACAGACCCAGAAAGATAAGGTAATATTTTGTGTTTGCAAAGTTGTTTGGTATTCATGGATATACACTGCTCAAAAAAAATTAAAGGAGCGGTTTTTTAATTTGAGTATATCAAGTCAATTAAAGTCATGGGATATTGATCTGGTCAGTTAAGTAGCTGCTTTGGTGTTAATTAAATTAACAGATACATGGGCAACAATGAGACGACACCCAAAACAGGAATGGTTTTACAGGTGGAGAGCACTGACATTTTTTTCCCTACCCATCTTTTCTGACTGTTTATCACTAGTTTTTCATTTGGCTAGGGTCAGTGTCACTACAGGTAGCATGAGGCGATACCTGGACCCTACAGAGGTTGCACAGGCAGTCCAACTCCTCCAGGATGGACAGGGCCATAGAAGGTCCTTAACCCTTCAGCAGGACCGGTATCTGCTCCGTTGTGCAAGGAGGAACAGGATGAGCGCTGCCAGAGCCCTACAAAATGACCTCCAACAGGCCACTGGTGTGAATGTCTGGCTCTGACCATACAATCAGAAACAGACTTCATGAGGGTGGCCTGATAGCCCGATATCCTCAGGGGTCCTATGCTCACTGCCTGGCAAAATAGAGCTGAATTGGCATTTGGCAATGAACACCAGAACTGGCAGGTGCGCCACTGGCACCCTGGGATTTTCACAGATGAGAGCAGGTTCACCCTGAGCACATGTGACATCTGAAAGGGTCTGGAGAAGCCATGAAGAAACGTTATGCTACCTGTAACATTGTTCAGTATGGCTGTTTTGATGGTGGCCCAGTGATGGCCTGTGGTGGCATATCCATGGAGGGATGCACAGACCTCTATAGGCTAGACAATGGCACCCTGACTGCCATTAGGTATCGGGATGAAATTCTTGGAGCCATTGTCAGACCCTACGCTGCTACAGTGGGTCCTGGGTTCCTCCTGGTGCATAACAATGCCTGACCTCATATGGTGAGAGTATGCTGGCAGCTCCTGGAGGATGAAGAAAATGAGGAAATGATACCATTGAATGGCCCCCATGCTCACTTGATCTAAATCCAATAGAACACCTCTGGAATATCATCATGTTTTGGTCCATCCGATGCCACCAAGTTGCACCTCAGACTGTCCAGGAGCTCAGTGATGCCCTGGTCCAGATCTGGAAGGAAATACCCCAAGACTCCATCCGTCATCTCATTAGGCGCTTTACTCGACATTTTGTCAGTCAAGCATACAACCATGTGGGAGCCACACAAACTACTGGGCTTCATTTTGAGTTGCTGCAATGACATTTCAGCAAAATGGACTGGCCCGCTGCATCATTTTTTCACTTTGATTTTCGGGGTGTCTTTGAATTCCATCCTCTGTAGTTTTCATTTTTCAGTTTCCATCAAATGATGGGGCATCCTTATGTTCTTAGCACATTACCCAGTCCATATCCGTATAGATATCCAGCATGATATTTTTCCCCATTGAGATCTGATGTGTTTTCAAAGTGTTCCTTTTAATTTTTTTGATCAGTGTATTAAAAAGCTAATATGTTTAACAGTATATTTGCCGTTTTAAAGCTGGTTTCACACCTGTGCACTGTGGTGTGGGTGCAGCGTGACTGTTTGCATGTTTTACACACAGTTTTAGGTGCATTTCCATTGACCTCTGTTAGACCGTGCATTTTCTGAAAAAGCATCAAAGATGCAGCATGCAGGACTTTAATGCACATGAAATTGCACAGTCTAATAGACGTCAATGGGAACACACCTAAAACAACATGTAAAATTCACATAGAATAAGACTTCAATCAAACAGCAGCATACAAATGTGAACACGATCTAACTGTAGTGCTAAATTTTGGTTCTTAGCTTTCCTACAGATCAGACTAAAAACCTTAACTGAATCTTGATTTTTATACATCTAGTCTGTCAGGTATCATATAGAAGGCATCTTTTCCTCATTTTTAGCTTTTGTATGTTCTCTCTTTAGACATCAGCAATGATGTAATGGATTGAGTGAATTTTAAGGCACCATGTGGTCTGAATCATATGTATTTAGATACCATGAAAAATAATGCATCTAGACTAGACCATTTTAAACGTTCTAGAATGTTCACTGGAATATAAGAATACCTCTAGCTGTGAGCAAGTGGTACCCTCTCATGAAGGAAAATCTTTGTAGAAATATTTCCTTTTATCTGTTTCAGAATCGCACCGGCGCTGTGAGCCAGCTGCATTATGAACTGGGGAAGGTGTTGTGTGATGTTCATACATCTGATGGAGTTGTCTTGGCGGGGTAAGATCAAAAAGTTTCTGATAAGTTGAAAGACTGGTAAAAAAATCTGTCATGATAAAAGTGTGATGTATTGTTTTTTTTTTTTATCTGCCAGAATTATAGATTTACCTTTTTTTAAAAAAAAAAATATACATTTACAAATATTTTCAGATAAAATATATTCTTGATTGGGTGTCATTAGTAGTCATGGCATTCAACTCTCCATAACTTTTTTTTTTTTTTTTTTTTTTTTTTCCTTTTGGGGGGTTATGTTTTCTTTTCACTCTGGTTTAAATATTATATATTATTGATATTTTCTTTTCCTGGCTTTTGTCTTCCATCTTGTGTGGCAGTTTGTTTCAATGGTGTTAAGTTGCCATATCTTTATTCTTATAGTGTATGTCCAGACTTTTCCACCCTCAGACCCTCTCCCCTCTACGACATAACCCAGATTTTTTTTTAATCTTGTTCCTGTAGCAAAAAATAACCTAGCAACAATGATTTTTGAAGCTGGGTGGATGGAGCCTAGTGGGGATTCAGAGACACTAGACCCCCATCAGGTCCTCTCCCCTTGTGATTAATAGCAGGCAGAGGGTGGATCCATTGCTAGTAGACAGCCTGCTATTGACTATAGAATCTACCTATTGCATGTGGTCAATCAGAAGGAGAAAGCGGACTAATAGGGAACATTTGTCTTGGCTTCCCCAGCAGGCTCTGGCCACTGTCGGTATCCCTTGTTGCTACGAGGCTGTTTTCTGTGAAGCCGCAGTGCCTTTAACCAGTGATAGGTGGGGAGAAAAGGGGTAGTGGTAACAAACATGCTGCTCTGCCACACAGTGTACAGAGACAGGCACTCTGGCCTGTCTGTTTTACACTAAATTAGTTGGTTTTGATTACCCCCAGTTTTGTTACCTACGATGTGGAGGTAATGAATTGTGTACAGTAATAACAGCACTTTGTAAAAGCGGTGCTAATAACTACCTAAATCTGCCAAAAGTTTTGGTAAAGCTACTGAAATGGGCAGCAGGAGTGCTGGTTGGGAGTTCAGTAATGCAAAGGCACTTTCTTGTCCACCCAAACTGGAAGTTAGGAGCATACTTGGTTTCTGGCAGACCAGCGGGTATTTTCCCGTATCAGCAGTGTTTTTGCAAGGATAAAACATGGGGAAATGAATGTAATACACAGATGAACTGAATGTTTGGCTTCTTGCTCTGACATACTGATCTGCCTAGTTTTTCCTAGCGACCGCTAAAATGCGCCTTTTTTTTTTTTAAAATACCACATTTTACCTGTAACCTAATACCTTTTTTTTTTTTTTTTTTTTTTTTTTTTTTATTTTGCAGATATGTTTTTCATTTTTAGTTGATACAGTCAAAACATGTATGATAACAATGCTGTTGCGTCTGCTCGTCTATTGTATATTTGAAATGTGCATCAAACTGAAGCTAATGTATTTTATTATGCATAATAATATATATTATTATTATTGTATTATACATGTATTCTAGTAATATACATAATGCATAGTATTATACATAGAATACAAAACATTATTCACCAGTGGTCAGTTAAATCGATCACAAAACATTATTCACCAGTGGTCAGTTAAATCGGTCAAAGTATAGAATTAGTAAATATACTTTATGAAATCATTGTACATTTTTTTTAGCTTTATTCATTGGGGTTGATTTACTTAAACTGAAGTGTTCAAAATCTGGTGCAGCTCTGCTTAAAAACCAATCGGCTTCCATGTTTTATTGTCACAACTAAATTGAACAAGCTGAGGTTAGAAGCTGATTGGCTGGCATACACTGCTGCACCAGAGTTTGCACTCTTCAGAATTTATAGATAAACAGATACAATTTTTTCCTGTTCTGTATTCTCAAAGCTGAATGAACTGAAATATTAACCTAAAAGTATATGCAAAATATACAAAACATGTCGGTGTATAGTTAGTGTAGAGTGATACATTTATTTAAACAATTTCCAAATAAGGTCCATGTAGAGTGATTTCTGTATGTAGGCTGGAGGCAAGGGGTATTGAGTGGAGAGGGATCATGTGAAGGCTTAGCTCTACAGGTTGGAGATAAGTCAAAGGGGATATGCCAAGAGATATTATGGAGATAACCATGAAATTCTGTCAGTCACATCCAGTGAGGAGGGGGCGGGACCAAGCCACACTCTGCGTTTCTCATAGACACAGAGGACAGAGGCGGCTTGGCAGCAAGCACACACAAGTGCCCTCTGGGGGCACTCAGAAGTGGGGAGTAGTCTCGAGGACCGTGGCTGCTCTGTGCAAAACCATTGCACAGAGCATGTATCTAAACCCCTTTAAACATGAGCATGTGCTTGACATACAGTAGGGACTGAGACTGATGAAATTGTGTACATTGGAGAAGGTATAGAGATTGCCACCTACAGTGGATATAAAAAGTCTACACACCCCTGTTAAAATGTCAGGTGATGTAAAAAAAATTAGACAAAGATAAATAATTTCAGAACTTTTTCCACCTTTTAATGTAACCTATAAACTGTACAACTCCAGTTGAACAACAAACTGAAATCTTTTAGGTAGAGGGAAGTAAAAATAAAAACTAAAATAATATGGTTGCATAAGTGTGCACACCCTGAAACTAATACTTTGTTGAAGCACCTTTTGATTTTATTACAGCACTCAGTCTTTTTGGGTATGAGTCTTATCAGCATGGCACATCTTGACTTGCCAATATTTGCCCACTCTTCCTTGCAAAAACACTCCAAATCTGTCAGATTGCGAGGACATCTCCTGAGCATAGACCTTTTCAGATCTCCCTACAGATTTTCTATCGGATTCTGGTCTGGGCTCTGGCTGGGCCATTCCAAAACTTTAATCTTCTGGTGAAGCCATTCCTTTGTTGATTTGGATGTATGCTTTGGGTCGTTGTCATGCTGAAAGATGAAGTTCCTCTTCATGTGCAGGTTTCTAGCAGAAGTCTCAAGGTTTTGTGTCAATATTGACTGGTATTTGGAACTGTTCATAATTCCCTCTACCTTGACTAAGGTTCCAGCTGAAGAAAAACATCCCCAAAGCATGATGCCACCATGCTTCACTGTTGGTATGGTGTTCTTTTGGTGATGTGCAGTGTTGTTTTTGCACCAAACATATCTTTTGGAATTATGGCCAAAAAGTTCAACTTTGGTTTCATCAGACCATAACACATTTTCCCACATGCTTTTGGGAAACTTCAGATATGCGTCTGCAAAATTTAGCAAGACTTGGATGTTTTTCTTAGTAAGAAAAAGCTTCCGTCTTGCCACTCTATCCCATAGCCCACACATATGAAGAATACGAGATTGTACCACACAGCCAGCACTTGCCAGATACTTCTGCAGCTCCTTTAATGTTGCTGTAGGCATCTTGGCAGCCTCCCAGACCAGTTTTCTTCTCGTCTTTTCATCAATTTTGGAGTGACGTCCAGTTCTTGGTAATGTAACTGTTGCACCATATTTTCTCCACTTGATGACTGTCTTCACTGTGTTCCATGGTATATCTAATGCCTTGGAAATTCTTTTGTACCCTTCTCCTGACTGATACCTTTTTAACAATGAGATCCCTCTGATGCTTTGAAAGCTCTCTGCAGACCATGGCTTTTGCTGTAGGATGCGACGAAGAAAATGTCAGGAAAAAGCATGTGGGAAAAAGACCTACTAGAACAGCTGAGCTTTATTTGGGTTTGATCATAGCAGGTGTGGACTCCTATTTAACATGATTGTGAATATGATTGCTTAATTCTGAACATGGCTACATCCCCAGTTATAAGAGGGTGTGCACACTTATGCAACCAAATTATTTTTAGTTTTTTATGTTTACTCCACCCCCCCACAAAAGATTTCAGTTTGTTTTTCAAGTGAGTTGTACAGTTTATAGGTTACATTAAAGGTGGAAAAAGTTCTGAAAGGATTTATCTTTGTCTCATTTTTTTTTCCATCACAGAAACCTGACATTTTACCAGGGGTGTGTAGACTTTTTTTATATCCACTGTATGCTTTGTATGCCGGTTAATGTGTTTTCACTTTCTGTAAAAGCGGGGCTAATCTGTAAACCTAAAACCAGTGCAAGAAAATACTAGATAAGTTTTTTTGGTTACTTTTTGCTGAATCGCTTGGGGAAAATGTAAACGGAATGATTAATGGGTGGGGGTGGGTGTGTGTGTGTGTTTTTTATTTTTTTAGATCAGCATTTATTTATTAGAAAGACAAAGAATCATCAGACATGTATATTTATGTATTGATTTAGTCAGTTGTAGCCATTTTTCAGAGGCTTCTTCTCCAGAGATTATCTTCAGGCTGTGCCATCCATCTAATACCGATGTGTTTGTACGAAGCCTAAGAGATGGAGAATCTTGTGTTGATCATTAAAGTTTCATCAGGCGGTTACGATGCTTGTTTTCTGGGTCAGACCTCCAATCCCTTTTCATTTGAGACACAGTTGGCTGCGGTTACCTCACTCCCAATCAATGTTGTATACACTGGCCTTTCTACTGTTACATCTCCCACAGGAACTCCTTAAAGTCGTAGGGATTTCAGTCTTTCATACAGAGAACCTGATCTTTTTCTAGTGCAAGTTCACTTTGGGACATGAGTTGTATGCCTCACTACTAATATATTATTCTACATTTCTGATGATTGTTTTCTTAAAATGCATATTGTACAGGACACATTCTAAATATTTATAGATTCTGGGTTATGGGATGCTGGAATAGCTTTGAGAACAATCCCTTGAGCCCCCCCGTAACTGTACCCCACATCGTGAGTCCTAGGGTGATGGACCTCTTCTCCCTTACAGAGAAATCACTCTTAGCTTAACTAGTTTATTATTTTACTTTAAAATATTCAATGAACACTTCACTATCTTCTAAAGTAACAATAGAAGCAGTGCATCTACTGAAACCTCAGTAAAATCTCGGGAGATATAGCCAGACCCTGATCCATGGGGATGGCCTGTAATCTTACTTCAGGCGCTGGATCCTGAGTGAGCACTC